ACTGTCTTTGAGAAAAGGGACTCTCTTACGCAATTCACTCCGCTAGAAATTTGGAAACGGCAGTATTGCTTGGCATTCGTATCGGAATCTCCAATACGAACATTTCAGACTGTTTAGATGTCCATCAATCTGAGGATTGTGCAGAGGATTCGGAAAGAGTTGGTTGAGTCTAATGGCCATTACGAAGGTAAGACAGCTCGGAAAATTCACTCTGATCGTTCTGGTAAGAAAAGAAATCCCGACTCAATACGGAGGCCTACATCAAGTGCCTTGAGGAGGTAGCGCTGTTCTGGGTCAAGAGGGTGGCTGGTGGAAGACCCTATGTCTAGCAATAGCACTTTCTTGTCATAAAAGAAAACGTTGTTACATAAATGTACTTTTTAAAATATAAAATCTCGACTCTAAATAATATATATGTACGCGTAAAAGTATTTTTGTGCTTAGGGAGTATTTGTGTGTGTTATTCATAAAATACAGTGCAGGTCACTAACGGTTCAGATTATAAAATATTGAAGTTGACTTCAACATTCCATTGAAATGAAATTTAATTTCCCTATGATTCCCTATGATTTCCTTATGATTCAGTTAAATATTTCAATTCGTCTGTGTCATCATTGGTCTGGTTAACAAGTTCATGTTTAACGTTTTACTGGTGGTTTACAGCATTTAATAGTAGCAGAACTTCCGAGATAAACTTGTACAGCATTTATTTATGGCATATGTGAACATTAGGAATTTTTATATTACAGTTTAAAAAACTCGTATTTTTAAATAGAATTTACTTAAAATATTTTAAAAATCATATTAACTTTAAAAAATTGTTTAATATTCTAAAATTACTTTTTATATATTTAAAAGATTTTTTGTTTAAAGAAAGCTGAAATATAAATAATTATTCTACAACTGGACAAAAGAGGAAAGAGTAATATCACAGTATTTGTCTTCAACATAAAAATACTTTAATTAAAAAATTGTCTGTTTGAATGAAGTTAAAATAAAAATAATTACTATATAAACAACTCGTATTTTTTCAATTTTATTCACTTAAAATATTTTTTAAATCGGATTTACTTAAATCATTATGCCTCGAATGCACTCACCACACAAGCACGCACTCACAGACTTTTATTATTACATATATTAAACACTGTTTACTGTTCACTTTTAATCTTAGAAAAGAGCGCTCGTCACGGTAACAGTGGCCAAAGTTTAAAAAAACGAAAATGTTAAGCTCAGGGATAAAATAAAAGTATGGAAGAACTCCGAATTTGAAAATCTGTGAAGTGGATGAATTTTTTTTTAAAGAAGCAGAAAAAAACATATGAATATACAGGTAAGGTAGAATAAGTATGATCAAACCTATAGATAGAAACAGAAAAGAGTATTTTTAGGTTAAGAAATAAGACAGTGATTTTTGGCTTCATAAACAAAACCTTTCCGAAAGTTACAAAATTGAGGTTTGAAATGATGATGAAGATGGTATGGGAAGTATTTCTACATATCTGGAGTCAAATCGAGGAACCAAAGAATGATGGAAATAGGTTCGAAAGTTATTCTACACAGCTACTAAAAAATCGAGTCACGATGAAGTTAGGATGGGAAATTATTCTTCACAACTATTGAGGTGTAAAACGACAACGGTGTGAGTCTGGGAAGTTCTACATTCGGTGTAATTTCTTGTCCCGTAACATTGTGTTGATCCATTCATTCCTACGTTTTTGATCAACGTTTTCAAAATATCCAAGATAGTGAAAAATCCTCGAAATACCTGATCGAATAGAAACCGAAACCTTTCTTTTACATTACACGTTTTAGCAGCGAAGTGTGTATATATAGAGTAATCAATAAAATAAAATGTTCCCATATCTTAGGAAATATTTGTGAAGAATTCACTATATCTAATTGTATTAATATTTTCATTGAGCACTTTATTTGCCAAAAAAAATACGCTTGCTTTACGAACTCTATTTCTTAAAAATGCGCTAGTTGTCCATTTCGTGGTGAAACACATTTGTTATATATATATATATATATATATATATATATATATATATATATATATATATATATATGAAAATTTCTCCGATTTAACCAGTAGAGAACAATATTTATGAATAGAAATGACAATAGGAAAACTGGTAATTGCTGACGCGTTTCGTCCAATGTGGACTTTATCAAAGCAAAATACGAAATTTCGTTTCGTTCAATGTGGACTTCATCAAAGCAAAATACGAAATTTCGTATTTTGCTTTGATAAAGTCCACATTGGACGAAACGCGTCATAATTACCAGTTTTCCTATTGTCATTTCTATTCATATATATATATATATATATATATATATATATATATATATATATATATATATATATATATATTATGAAATGGACAAAGTCCGACAATTATTTTAAGATATTTTTATGTTTATACATTCTTTTATAGATACAAATATTTAAGCACAATTATTTTCTGCACAAGCTTTCATCACTGTAATCAAATGATATGTGCGGGTGGTAGTCTGGGTGTTAGTTCTTAGAATTGAGCTATTTGACCCTCATACGTCAAAAACGACGGGAGAGACCATTCCTTCGTATTCCATCGGTGAGAAATTTTCCCTCGAAAAGCTTCTTCCTGCGAACCACTGCTCTGTGGAATCGACTTTCAAGAGGATGTTTCCCCTAATCACTACAATCCTAACCTGATCAAGGCTAAGATTAACCGTTATCTGCCACTTCTACGGGGAAAGATGGCCTCCTAACGTAACCTTCTACCTCTAATGATCTTGTAAAGGATGAACCTTTCTGTAATATATATATATATATATATATGAGTTGCTGATACCCCCTGAAGAGTGGACGGAAAGATCCGCCTACGAAACTCTGTAGTAGGGCTGCTAAAGGTAACATCAATCAGCTAAGTGGCAAACTTTTATTCACATTAATTATATATATATATATATATATATATATATATATATATATAGGGTGGGAGAAATTGGCATTAAAATAGTTAATAAAATCTATATTTCTATTACAAATTTATTGAAACAAATGATACATTTTTTTATTACATTGAAAAATGAAAATAAATCTTCATATTTCAATGTAAGCATCGGTGGCTTTAACCAGTTTCCTCAAACGGCCAGGGATGCAATGATCAACCTTCTGAAGGACGTCATCTTGGATATCATTTAGAACTTCCTGAATCCGTGTCTCTAAGTCCTCCAGTGTGTGAGGTTTTGTCTTGTACACGTCCACATTTGTGTAACCCCACAGGTAAAAATAACATGTAGTGAGATCTGGATTACTTGGAGGCCATTCATGAGGTCCGCGTCGTCTCATCTAACGTCCTGAAAAATGTTCGTCTAACCATGCTCGCACAGTAAGATCAAAATGGAGTGGTGTACCAACCTGCATGAATACCAGGTCACCAATGTTATCCCAGCCAGACACCATGGACCACACGTAATTTTCAAGCATCTGAAGACAGCTGTCCTTATTCATGGTGTCATGCAAAAGATATGGGCCGACGACTCTTGTTACCGCCATTCCGCATCCGAAGGTCACTTTTGGTCGAGCTTTCATCCTCTCGACCTTCATGTTCGCACAACGCCCAGTAATGGCAGTTGTGACGATTGATGAAACCACCCAAATTGAATACAGCCTAGGCACTCCAAATGATGTTTTCAAACAATTCAGGCCAATCTCCATGACAACCTATCATTAACTCTCCTTATTCCATTCCGTGCACACAGTCTTCAGGTTTCAGCTCCTGCGCGTAAATAAGAAATCACTATTATTTTTTAGTGTTTAAAACATTTTTTAGTGAAGACTTCAGTGATACTAAAAATTCTATAAGCAATTTCTATTTCTAATGTCTAGTTACTTTCCACCCACACTGTATGTGCATACATATATATTATTCAGGATCATTTTCCAATTCATTCAAGGTGTTCATCGCTCTCTCTTACATCTATCTATCTATCTATCTATATATATATATATATATATATATATATATATATATATATATATATATATATATGTATATATATATATATATATATATATATATATATATATATATATGCATATATATATATATATATACATACATATATATATATATATATATACATATGTATATGTACATATGTATGTATATATATATATATATATATATATATATATATATATATATATATATATATATATATATATATATATATAAATGTTTATTTTAATCCGTCTTTTTATCTGAACCACACTCGGTCAATCGGTGGTTTCTTCGAGAACGGGAGACATAGGTTCATAGAACAGACCCTAATTTTCTTTATTATCGTTGCTTAACTTCGGTGATCGTATGGAAACTGGTGTTTCAACGTGATATGGCACTAAGTTCCTTGAGAAATGGACAAATCGACTTCTTTGTCTCATAGGCGGATACGTGGAGACAAAATTCTCATTACTAGCCTGCCACATTGGTTGTTAGCGAGTGGAGGAGTGTGTAATTGTGCATTCTGATTTACCCTGTGTACATTCAATAAACCTTGGGGAAAAAAAGAGTAAAGATCCTGTGTCAACCTTATAAAATGTCAGTTTGGTATTGGACACATTTATGGCTCCGGCACGCGTGCACGTTCGGTTAAAAACATTCAGTTCATATGAAAAATATTCTCAGGAACATTTCAGAAATTGGCATCTCCTCCGAAAAAAAAACAAAAAAACTATCTATCGCCCTAAGAGCATTTTCCTGTGAAATTCTTCCGCTTGGAATCTTGATACCCCACCTCTTGCATAGTCGACTCGATATATTTTTTTATTGATTCCGTTATGTGTATGGCTGAACAAATTTCTTTGCAACACGCTGCAAATGGCCTTTTGAAAAGGGGAAGAAAAATGAACACATTAAATAAATAGGAGGTAGAAATAAATCCAGTTAACTTCACGCTTGACAACAGCAATGCATAGATTACTCTCCCCACTATCTGAAGCAGGCTTAAGGCCATATCACGCTGAAACATCGGTTCCCGTACGATGACCGAAGTTAAGCAACGTCGAGCCTGGTCAGTACCTTGATGATCGGTTAGGAATACCAGGTGCTGTAAGCTTGAGTGTGCGCATGGTGTAATTGATAATAGCTCGGAATTGTTAATCGGAGATCCGATTTCCAATTCCAGTTGAATTCGTTATATTCAGTTACGCGCAAATGCCCTTAGGAAAGGCATTGATCTATCTCTTCTCCCCCAGCTATGGGTTAATTAGCAAAACTTGTATCAGTCAAACCATTATTATCTAAAAAATAAATGCGTACAAAATATTTAGATTTCGGCATTAAATAACCCATAGAGGTGTCGATATACCGCTAAACAAAAACAACCAACCAACTATCTGCAGAGGCAATATCCAAAATGTTCTAAATGGATGCCTCAAACCATGGATAGTAGCGTACTGTATAAGCTATCATTTTCTGATACATACATAACTAGGGTAAAGTTTAACTATAAATTAACTTATTAACTTATAATTTAACTATAAATTTGACATGAGACTGACAACAATAATTCGTACTATTTAAATTAACTGGTCCGATCGTAAAAACCAAGGGATTAAAAAAAACAGTTTTTGTAGATGTGCATTCATGAAACTAGGTGCCTTCACAAATTCGCTAAAAAATGAGCATGAAAAAATGTCCCAAACTTAATAAAAACAATTAGCGGTATATCGACACCTCTATGGGTTTTTTATCTTTAAATTTTTTGTTATTATTAAGAGCAAAGACCAAATAATTTTTTAATTGTATTTTTTAATCCTTTTTAGAACGTTCGAAATTTTGGGTAAAAATTTTGTTTTACCTACGTCAATGGGGGACCAAAGTTTAGTCTAGTAAAATATACCGTCTTTTTTTGTGGTAAAAAAAAAAAAAAAACAAAAAAAACACTGATTTGGAAATTCTTGCAAAAATCAAATAATTGTTGGATTTTTATGAAAATTTGAGGACTTATTCACAAATGAATGAAATTATTTTAAGAATGTTTCTTTTTAGAAAATTTTGTTAAAAATATTTTTACTCTTTTACCCCTCCCTCAACTTATTCAATTTATGAAACTTCGATGAATTCATTTTTCTACCCCTTAATGTTTATATTAATTAAACACAGAAGTATGGAGAATTTAAATCATTATTATTTATTTTTTTATTTATGTTTTTTCTAAAGCAGAAACCCCAGCCACGGAAAATCCGTTCTGAATTGTAAAATGAAAAATGCAATAAAACTAAGACATTATTTAATTAGAAAAGCTTTTAATCGCTTTATAAATAAGATATATTATGAATACTATTTTCTTTAAAAAATTTAAATGTATAATGAATTTTACAAAAATCATTTTCAGTTTTTTAATTTTAATTAGAATAATTTATAATGTTTTGAATGATATAAATCTCTGTATTAATTTATACTAGTTAGAAGGTATTTTTATTAAATAAAAACTATATTTACTAATCAGAAATGAAAAAGCTTACTACAGTTCTGCGACCCCCCAATATTTTAAGAACATTTCATTTTTTTACGTGTACAAATATGTCGGCTAATTTTTTTGATTTCAGTTTCATAGAAAACGCTTGGGCTTACCCCGGCAAGTTTACTCAAATGGAAGATAGTAAGACTCCGGATGCTGGAATAATGCCGGGGTCACTCCAATAATATTGGTACGCATCCGAGCGATCAAATTCTTTTCATCTAAGAACAATACGGACTTCAATTTCTGATTTCCTGCTTCTTCTTTTTAAAATGAATTCACCTCGAGCAAGGTGATAATGCCAGTAAAATGCAAGGGGCTACTAGGAGTGAAAAGAGAATGAGAAGATTTCGAAAACTTTAGAAATGATTGGTGATCTTTAGCAAAGGCCAGTTTTCGTTTTTTATGCAGTTTCATCAGCCGAGGACCTCGCTTTCCTCACCTTTTCATGTCCTTTCTATGCAGATATTGTCTAATCGTTAGAGCAGATACATCAGAGGACGTCTTCTGGTGGACATGTCACGATAAGATTTGATCGTTCTAATAATCCTACGGCCTATATCTTGTGTGTTCGCTGGAGTATCCTTTTAGGGATTCTCCTTCTGAGGGCTTCGAGTCCTTTCAAAAATAAAAGAATAGCTTTATACCACCTTATACCACCGGACTAGCGTATTGGTTTATTGATATTTTCCCCACTGAACAAGATGCTACTGCACAACAATTAGTAGTTTAACCTAGCCACAGGGGTTTCTTCTTTACTTATTTTATATTTCCACTGTGGAAGTGTGGTTAACTATTTTTTTTAATAAAATTACTCTTAATAAAATTATTCATTTTTTTTACCGTGATGCGTTAGGCTAATTCGCGGGTTATATAAAAGCCGCCTCTCCCTTTCTGTTCAAGTCGTCTGAAGACGGCGTGAACGTAAAACTTGGATTACGATTAGAGACATCCTTTTATAGGATGTAACGTTGGTAAGCGTTTTTAGCTCGATCTAGGCAATCTAGGCTTAGAGAACTTTACTGGATAGTTAAATTTGCTTTTAGGCCTTTTTTGCACAATTTTTTTCACTATTGTCAATTTTATTTAAGACTGTATTTGATGAAGAGTGTTAGGCTTTGGCAAATTGACCGTTGATTCTACCAACGTGTTTCTGTTGTTCTTTAATTTATATATATATATATATATATATATATATATATATGTGTGTGTGTGTGTGTGTGTGTGTGTGTGTGTGTGTGTGTGTAGGGTAATAATCAATATAAATTTGTTCTTCATCATTTGATACAACTCTGAGTTTCATGCACGTGAAAATCGCCAGGCTCAAATTGAAAACTCACCGTGCGTTATATACATGTGAGTATATGTATATATGTATAAAACAATGTGTGTGTACATGTGAGTGTATATATATATATATATATATATATATATATATGTTTGTGTGCGTGTGTATGTGCGTGTATGTGTGCATCTTAAGTGAGTAAACTGAGCCTCGAAACTTATATATATATATATGGAGTGTTTGACTGGTAGAGGCAACGTCAATCCATCCAGCCATCCAGCCATCAATCCCTTCATCCACCCAGAAACATAACTATTTTATATATGTATATATTAATCCAAGTCATCTACACATGCGCACATCTGCTGAGCTTTGACGTCAGAGTTGTCATATTTTAAATCTCAATTATTTGCATTTTGTATTTTGTACTTTCTTTTAAAGAATCGATTTTTCTTGTTTCTATCTCCAGCCTCGAAAGCCAAAAACATACAAATGCAAAAAAAATAAATAAATAAATAAAAATAATCGCTTGTATGAAATAAATTTTCTCCCTTTTCATTCTGCCCTTTATTATTTTATATTTTATCTCACAATTTTAGTTTTATTTTCATCTTGATGGTTTTGTCTGCAAACTGAAACTTTTTTTTTTTTTTAAATATTTCAAAACGCAAACAACAAAAAACGAAATAGTCAAAGTCTTGCACACCCGGCGCCGGTTAATGCGGAAATACAACTCTCAAGAAAATTACCATTTAAACAGACATGGCATTTGTTTTTTTACTTCTTTTTATCACAGATTTTAATTATATTTCTTTGATGCATACTCGTTGAATGTTGCTTCTTAAACAAAAGAATTGTTTTGTTATATCAATAACAAGAAAAATTTCTTGTAGCAAAATATTCTTATTTCTAAATCACACTTTGCTTTGAAGAAAACACCAAGAAATCACTTATTCTTTACTGATAATCGATAAAAATTAAAAAAAAAAAGTATTACAGTCACTTCGTCCATTCCTATTAGTTCTGGCTAAAACTTTTATAGTTCGTGAACTCCCAAACTAAAACAAAACTCAAAACACTAGGAAATTATAAACATACATTTTCATTATTTGTCTATATTTCGGAGATGAAGAATTATGTACACTATTTACATTATTCTGACTATTGTCCTCATCTTGATTGTCATATTTATCCCAAAGTTTCGGCCGTTGTACGCCCTGCCCTCCTTCAGGTGTTTGGAATGTCGAACTAACCCCTTTTAGACTGTTCTAGTTCCACGTGCCATGTGTAATAGAATGTCAATTATCAGTTATCTCCTGTTAATTCACCTCTCCAAGTTCTCCACTGCCTTAACCAGGTATTGAACTCGCAACTCTTTGAGTCCAGTCACTAGATCTAACCAACGCCTTTATTCACTGTGTTATGTGTCCTTAAGGATGGTTGGATCCAGTGACGAGACTCAAAGAATTGTGAGTTCAATACATGGTTAAGGCAGTGGAGAGGTGAATTAACAGGAGATAACTGACCCCATTAGACATGGCACGTGGAATTCAGTTCGATTTCCAACCACCTGAAAAAAGGCCGGAACGTACAACGGCCGAAACGTTGTGATAAATATGGCAACAAAGATCAGGACAATAGTCCGAATAATGTAAATAGTATACACTAGCAGTAGAGCCCAGCATTGCCAGGGGATGTAACAGTAAGTGATAGATCAAGTATCGACCATCATAAAGACTGAAAAATAAAAATGACAAAGATTATTGTTTAAGGTTGACGGACACGCATGTCTTAATTAGTTTTTTTTTTTTTTTTTTTTACGATTTGGTCAAACCTAAACTCAAACAAAAACATTGTTTTCAATCGTTATGAGTCTACCGATTGAACTGAATTTTATTATAAACAATTGTCTTGTAAATGGAATTTTTAAAGCATTCTGAATGTAAAAATAAAGAAAAAAGTGTGCACGACAATAAGAAACACTACCTGCCAAAAAAAAGTGAAGTTTTGTTGAAATCGGTTGAAAAATGTAGGAAATCCGATCCCATATATAAACGAACGCACACACACACACACACAAACAACCTGGGTTTTATAATAAGTACAACTCGATATGAGTTGTCCCACTTTCATTCCGCAAAAGCTATGCCTCTTAATCGTGTTTTCAAATTGATTTCATGCAAAAACAATTGTGTTTTTCCAATTTTTGGCGCTGTCAGAACCACCGCAAGGTAATTTACGTAGTCCTTTGAAGTTTTGTTGAAATCGGTTGAAAAATGTAGGAAATCCGATCCAATATATAAACG